AAAATTAATCATTTAGACATCGAAGAGCTACAGGGGACAAATTTATGAAAGATATCCTACTAAAACAAGAGTAATCTCTCTGTGCACCTCTTGGGGCAGAGAGAAATCACAGCAGGAGCTTAATTTAGCTTCCTTAAATGGCCCTCCAGAGGAAGGCAGCATTTTCCGCTGCCTGCAGGGGGGCCTAAGGAGATTTGCCTTCATTAGACAAAATTAAACACTGTGAACGCCCCCTTAGAGCTGCATGGAATGGGCTAATCATATTTTATGCAACGTGTTTTGCAAACACCATCTACATTTTTCCCAGCACAAGCTTTTGCAAGGAGGATGGACGTGTGCTACGTGAGTTGATGTGATGTTCCAGGAGGAGGCTGGACCCTGGTGGCACTGTTTCTGCTCATTTGTTCTCCTAACAGGGGAATACCAGCCTTGGAATAAGCAAACCTTCCATTAAATAAAATAAAATAATAAAATTTTGCAGCAACTTGTAATCCTGAGACACAGGGGGGAACCTAAACCAAACAAAAAACCCAATGAAATTACACTAAAACTCTTTAAAAAGGAGACATAAATATGTGGCACAATGTAACTAGATATTTCTGCTGATTAACACAGGAAAGGAAGGGAAGGAAAGAGAATTTGGGTCAAATCACAAAGAATTAAGTAATAAGTCAATGATGTTAGTACATGAGGTATTTCAGTGCCACTTTGCTGAATACTAGTGATGGTTCACAGCTTCACCTTGCCCACTTTCAGGCTCCTTGCTGAGGTACCTTGCTTGGGGATGGAGAGGCAAGTATTTCCAGAAGGGTAGCAGGATCCCAGGTAGACTGAAAAAAACCTGCTGATGGGGCCTGCCTTTTGCTTTCTCCTTTGGCTTTGGTATGAAAGGATAGTGACTCAGTTCCTAAATAGGTGACCCAGCCCTGCATATGGGATTTTCCAATCAGTCTGAATCCCACAACAATTTTCTGTCCTCAGTCTGTAATGACAGATTTACTGGACTGTTTCAAAAGAAACAAAAACCTTAAGGCAATGTGATCACCACTTTATTAAACTGAGGGACAGGGCTGTACCAAAGCAGATGGTGGTTGCAAACAAGTGCACCAAGGAATTGGAAAAAGATTTCTGATTTTCCAGCTAAAACACATCCTTTCAATGGCAGTAGTAAAGGTGACATAGCTCACCAGCTTTCAGATGTAATTTGATATGATTTTATCTTTGTCACACAGAGACAGAAATCATGATGACTCCAAGAGTTGTCTTTCAAACCTATTCACCTGTCTTCTGAGATCAAGTCCTGCTAATGACCAACAGGAGTCTTGTATGTGAAACTGCTGGAGTGGCATTGACTGGAGCAGGATTTTTGTCCTTATGTATCCAGGAATCACTTGTATGACCTCAGGCTTTATAGTAGCAACAATGGGCTGGTTTCACAAGGCAGCTTTTTTCAATAAAACTGCTTGAAAGAGAGGAAGGTGAGCTTTTGAATGAGAATTTTAAAATGCTCCCACTTGGCAGTAACCAAAATGGGCCCCTTCAGTTTCATGGTATATTTTCATTTTTAGCACTTTAATAAGCTTAACCCTCTTTTATCTCTAGACTAAAAATAATCAGTGTAATGTACTAAGAAGTACCAAAAAGGGAAAAAAAGGATATTTTTTTGGTAATGTGTAAAGGTTTATTTCCTAATTAAAAGCCAGATTGTGGGTCAAATTGATTTCAACATGAAAAAGAATTTTGCCCATTCTAATTTGAGAGTTTTAAGTGAGTCTCATTACACGAACAAAAGACCCTCTGGCTCTTCACAGGCACAACTGTGGATGTTAAGGGGAAGGAAAACTATAGCAGTTCTTCTAGAGTGAAGTTTAAAATGGCTTACGGGTTGGTCATTTACCAACTTCAGTGTAAATGTCAAGTCATAAATTCCACACAGGAGAGGATTTATTAAATAATCTTGCCTACATGCTAAACTAAGGCTAAATGGGTCACATTGGCTTGGAGTGGTGCAATGAAATACAATTTGCAGCTCCTTGAGTCATCAGGAGCCATGGTTATTCCTTCAAGGAAAAGTGTCTTTCACATGGTAACACACCATGACCCTCAGAGGTAAGGACTGAGGCACTGAAGAATCACTCACCCTGCTGTTTCAGGCAGGTCTTGAAAGACTATTTCAACTACCCTAAAATGTCATAACCAGCTCTTCCTGCTGGTTTTCTTCAGCCAACAGCCCAAAGACATAGTGTGTATGAATAAAAGTGGCTCTAAGGCAATGGCCAAACACCAGCATAAATTTACACCACTTCAGCTCCTGAGTGATTTATACTGTCCTTGAGATGCATCTTGGAAATG